CCCTACACGACGCTCTTCCGATCTCCCCAAAACCCCAAAACCCCGTAATTATTAATATTGTAAGATTTAGTGTAGCATTAGAATAATAAAATCAAAACATGGAAAATTTTGAGTTGCCAACTTAGCACTCTTGGCCTTTTTTCTACACGTATTCATATAAGATTGCTTAAATGATTATTACTAGAATTCAACTGAACTATGATACGAGAGAAAGACAAATGAAGATGTGGAGTGACTTGATCTTAGCTTACAGCAAATCCAAGGGTCTTTACTCTATTTCCTTGGGAGAACTTTACAACTCTCCCATCACTCAGAACTCTGAAATCAATCGCAGACTCTCAATGGACTCTATTTTGTAAGTATCTGAGTGGATGACTAAAAACAGTAAGCAAGCTAAGAATGAAACATGTTAACTGTGTAGAATTTGCTGATTTCGCCTCTGCTTCAAAAGAGAAAATCTTTGTATACTGGAGATCAGTGCAAGAGGTTGCTGAAGCCATATTCAAATGGGCTGATAAAAATGCTAAAATAGGCAGTGTAGAGACTTTGGTAGACATCTGTGAGGATGGAGAAAGTAAAGGAGAGATATTTCACAGAATGCCAATTGAGATTGTACTTAAAGCTTGCTAGGCTTTGCAAGAGGTTGGCAAAGCAGAGGTAAAGATATAAGAAAGTCTAATAGTCAATATAGGTGTTCTATTCAGAGGCAACAGACGCTATGGGAGTCAAGTTCTTTCATCATTGAAAATAAGAATGTAGAGGCTGAAATGCTCAACTAGTATCAACTTTGTTGTTTAAGTTTAATGATTGCAATACTTAAGAGTTAAAAGTTAAAAATATAGAATATTATCAGATTCAGATTGGGTCATTATTTCCATCGATTTTTGTCCAATACATTTTCTTCATAAGCCAAGTAAAGCGTCCATGGTTTCTGCTAGTTCTGATCCTAGTTCAAACATATCTTCAAAGAATTCATCAGCATTAGTTGGCTTGAATTCTTTGACAGTTTCCACTATGGATTCTGAGGCATGCACCAACTTAAATACGCTTTTCTGTCCATTCTTTAGAATATTAGAAATACCACACTTGTTCTCTCCTTTAGTGCTGCATTAATTCACAACCTACTAGAAAGTAGCTTGGACTCCACAGTTGTCAGCGTTATCTTGGTAGAGTTTGTAGATTGCATCTGCTACCTGGAACACTTCATAGAGCTCTCCATAGGACAAGAAGTGCAGTACTTCATAGATGTGCTTGTCTGAGTTGTCCGAAAGGCAATTGGCGTCTAGCTTCTACTTGCCGTGGTAGAACTCCTTATAGAACCCTTGCCAGAATCCTCTCAAGCCTGAAAGCCAGAACTTAATCGCCTCCTTATCATGTTAATTGATATCCTTGTTTTTCTTGCTCTTAAGTAGACCTCCATTTACATTTGTACTTAGAAGTGAGAATGCCACTACGAATAGAAGTAAAAGCCCTAAGTTCTGTTTCATTGCCATCAATTTTCTGCTAATTTATTATAATTATATACTATTATAATCTATCGATATTTGACTATTATGGGGTTTTGGGGTTTTGGGGTTTTGGGG